TATGGTCTAAAATTCAGACATTGTTGTTAATAACTGTACAAACAGTTCAGTGACAATAAATCAAATCAAATCAAATCTCTCTCTCTCTCTCTCTCTCTCTCTCTCTCCTGTTTTTCTCCGACTGCCCAGGGGTTGAAGACTTTTAGAAAGCTTTGGATTTTACAAAGCAATTCGTAAAATAACGATGCATCGCAATTTGTTAAAAACGAAGGTTTCGCAATAGAAAATTGACCGAGAAATTTTCGTAAAATCACGATAATTTTTTTTTCCCGGGTACATTGTGACTCCCTTAACACCAAACAAAATATCGTTAAAATTAAACCACATTGCTTCCAACTACTTCAAATTAGAATCACTTTGTTTTTCTAACACACTAAAACCTGTTTGCGTATATTCTCTAGAATCATGTGACTGTTTTGACGGGGTAAACATGTATGGCGACAACATCAGCTGTGTGACACACACGGTAGCGTCGTCAAGGATGTTTGAGTCGACGGAAGAAATTCTTCCCCAACCCCTTACCCCGTACACGCACGAGCACACGCACACACGAGCAAACACACTGGGACACTTGGAAGCGTTTGCCCCCCGTGTGGGCGACATAATAGACGCGCCTGGATTGGCGCTTGTCTGGCCGGGCTAGAGCCGCCCGGCCCGGCCTGGGCCCAGCCGGGCTGTTTGTTGTGGGTGGCGGTGGTGCTCATCATTATCTTTGCTTCGAGAAGGCTGTGATTTGTTTGACTCCGCCCACCGCCTGCCACATTATCCTGTCGCGGCGACAGCTGTCACTAAAACAAGCAGGCGCTGGCTGCACGGCCGCCATGCCCGGAGAAATGATTCATGGGCCCAAGAGCAGTGACAATCTGATTGCTGCTCTAGTATGGATTTCATTTTCTCCAGCGAGCCGCCGCTGGAGCAGCCGTGAGAATGGCCCTAGCTATTCACTTTACAAATGCAAAGGTCGGGGAACGAGAAAAATAATTCGTGGAAAATACGAAATGTTTGATTCCACGTAATCTACTGTAAGGCATCTTTAAATTCGTAAAATTAAAATGGAAAATTGGATAAGACTAACAACTTCCTAGATGAAACGACGATAACGTTTCATGGAGTCTTGTGAGATTTCCTCGTAGTGTAATTTGAATTGTTCCGTTACGGTACGTACATGTCGACGTAGCTTTGCCCACGTTATCCTCACGTGCTTTGTCTCGGCCAGCCATCGCCAACAGAAATGTTGAAGCGGGTACGAAGGGCCAATGCTATCTCAAGCTACCGTCAGGAGGTAGCGCCGGCTCGGCCACCGGTGCGATTGAAAGGGGTTCAACAGGGTCGATCGGAGCACAAACGGGACTCTGAAAGGGTCGGCGACGCAAGCGCAAGCGGCTGTGGCCTCTGGCTGTGGCGACCGCTGTGGAAGGAGATTACCGAGCCCACCACAATCACACAATGTGCATACATTCTGTGCCCCGTGCAGGCATATTTACTGAAAATACCGCGGCACAAGTCATAATAAAAAAGAGAGGATACGCCCCCACATGACGGCTCCATTTGACTGCGTTGCGGTGGCATATTTTTCCACATGGATGGCCGGCTACTATGTTTATTCACTCGAACGCCATCAATGTCAGATGGATATCTATTCATGAAACGCGGCGGCGATGCCGGGCGGCGCGTCTGGCGCGCTGGGAAAGGCCCGGCCAGGGCTGTCAGCTGCCGGCCCCACCACCAAAGCCCTCCCCATCGATAGAAAATAGCGACGCACCCCCAGTGACATGCTGGAAACTTATACCACTTCACGCACGGGATGATAACGCCCGAAAATTAACAAGCGACAAACCTCTTGGCATTTCACGTTACGTAGTTGCCGATACAAATTCAATGCATCTTTATCGTCAGAAAAAGAAGAAACATTTAGGAGCTGATCAGAGAGTTGTTGAGCGCAGCTCTATGGCACTGAGTTAAAAAGCTAATCACGAGGATCATTATTTCACGACGCGGTGCCTTTGCACACCTACGCGCGTGCGAGTATCGTGTTTCACTCTAGACACAGATGATTGGAGGGCACAGGCAGGGCTCGGCTGGACGCTGTGCGCGGCGACTGCTCGCGACACGGTGTGCATTACAACAGATAACATCGCACAGCTTCCGGTTACCGTGTCGCAAAGCCTGTTGTGTGTCATCGCGTCCATTAATGGAAGATATTGTTAATGCAGGGCTGTTGTTGAAGCACAACGGTCTGTCGCGAGCGAGATCTTATCAGCCACGTTGTCTTAATCTCCCAATCGGAGCGGGCTCCAGCTAACCCTTTTTTATTCGCTATAGTTTAATTTGAATCCGAAAAGCGTTTTTCTTCCTTTTCAATTTTTTTGTCATTGTAAAATTTCGTAAAAAAAAATTGTTGGTACCCAAATTGTTCAATTTCAAGCTCAAGTTTTAATCTGTATGTAAATTGTCATAAAATTAATTTTTCTGAACATTACATTGAACGAGGGCAGGATAATTGAGAGAGACGACCATCTGATTCCATTCAGAACTTCGTTTTTTCCTATT